GCGCCCTCCTTCCAGGGAAAAGGAAAAAAAGGTAACCCAAATCGCAATCCGATGTTACAAAGCTCAACTGAGATTGAACCAATAAGCCTCTGGAGCTTATTCGGCTTCGAGCCGAACCATTATGACAACTGTCCCGGGGCATATGGGTCATTGATTTCGGTACATACCAAATCGTACGGGTTTCGGACAAACCATCAGCACACTTTGCATGGTCGTTGGCCTGAATAGCAGTTGAGCTTTCCCTGCCGACGAGAGTTTGAGGATTGCAGATGCAACGTCAAGGGCCCGGCAGATATCAGGTCGTTCATTGCTGGTTGTGGATTGCATAAAACATCATGTACACACATCTGCTGGTCGTAGCGTTCCTGATCAGATCACGGTGTCATTTAAAATATTGTATTAGGTGCCTTTGAGATGGTGATGTCTTGTTATGCCGGACTATGTGTGGTTGAATTTCAATTGAAGCCTCTCCATAAAAATTCCCCCGATGCGATACGAAAGTGTTCCACAGATAAGACGAACGACCCAACGGTTTGCTGACTGGGAAGAGACTCGTAACTGCGTGGATTTTTACCTCCCGTTAACATTAAACCAGAATGCGGCGACCTGCGCTCTCCTGAATCTGGTGTTGAGAGTCTCTTGGGAAGTAGCTTTCTTTCTCTAAGATGCGCCCCTCATCTCCAACATCCCAAACATCTGCTGCGCTGCAGCTCCAGTATCGACTGCTGCTGACCGCATCCCATCCGAAAGCGTACTCTTGGTCTGGATGTTGAGCACTGCCAATTCTCGTGCTGTCTGGACGACCCGTCTGAGGCGAAGCTTTACTAGTGCCTCAAAACATAAGTGTGACATCTCTTTACTCAGTGTTAAACCACTAATCGTCAGGTATGTGGCTTGACTATTGAGCGCGCTCACGAAATTCGACTCACGTATGTACGTCTGCAGATGCTCAATTACCCAGCTTATAGAAGTACAAAACATCATGCTCACGTACGGCGAGTTGAAGGAGCATTGCGCGCACGTAGAGATTGTGTCCTTTGTCCTGTTCAACTGTTGCTCCACAGCAAAGACAACGTCTAGAGTAGTGGGTTTCGCAAGCCGAAGACTAACCAAGTAGATGAGCTGACTCAATTGGGAAGAGCATTGGCAATCCACATCCTTGGATAGGTCGAAGAGGAGGTCTGAAGCAGTTGCATCAGAAGAAATAGGATCCTCGGGAAAGCCTGTTACGTGTGTAAGAGGGATTTGATCGTCCTGGTTTGTGTTCTGTCGGCCTATCTGGCTCATGGGCGGTGATGGCTCTTGCGTTGGTTCTCCCGCAATGCTACCGGCGCCGAACTTCGTACCACTGAGCATGTCCTGACTTGACGCAAGACCCCACACCTGCTCCACAGAATCCGAGTGGTGACCATTTGTGCAATGTGGATCGACTCCGCTTGTACCCCATTCCCATAGCGAAAGATCATCGATAGATCCAAAGTCAACTGTGTCGGCATCATGTGGCAGTTCCATCGATATGTTCGTAAATGACTCTATGGAAGCCATTCCTGGCGATAACAGAGTCGTGCGTGCCTTTCCATCTCTTGTATCATTTTGTTGAGGGGTGCTGCGAGTCGAATCGTGACGCTCTGTCGGAAGCAGCGAGTCCGCCAGGGTTGAAGAGGGTGTTAGAGGCGCCGTTCCCCGCTTCACTCGCGCTGCATCAACAGCGTTGTCCGTACCGTACGACCCCACTTCATCCGAGATCACAGATGTTTGACACCGCCTGCCTGGACGGCGTGCTACGCTGTAGTTGCAGTCTTGTTGGCAGCCTCGGTCGACGCAACGTTGACAGACTGGTTTTTCGCGACTACATTTGAGCTTCGAAAGTGTGCATATATCGCAAGAGTTCCGCAGCCGGCGGAAGCCCAGACGTGATGGTTTCATGCTGGCAGCCTCGCGATGCTTGTTTGCGTTATCGTTCAAAACGGCAATAGGACATGTGTAGTGCGTGCAAAAGTTGAAAGTTGGCCTCGATAGATTGATAAGAAAGACGACGGACTGAACGTGCTGTAACATACACAAAGCGACAATCACGGGCTTACGAGATGAAACTCGATTCGAATGCACATATGCGTTTGCCTGACTAATTAGCAATGGACCCACAAACGGTACTGCGCACTCAACAGCTCTAGGGATCCATGGCCCCTTTATAGTATGTGCAAACTTTGTGCCATGGTAATAGGGCTGACAACAACCAAGTGAGGCTTGAATGCCCACTGCATAAGGGTAAGGACCCCAGAATGGTCGATGAGCCAGCTGTAGAACGTTTGCGCCGGCCGTTTTCCTTAGTGCTATGACTGCCGCTAGCCACTCACAGTTACCGAGTGCGAATCCCCCGTGGAAATCCGGAGATATCTCCGCTGACGCAAGACACACACGTCAAGTTCACAGATCCCGTTTCTTGTTATCCTTTTGCTGTCGTCGCCTAAATAAAACGCTCCTGGACACTGGTGTCTGGCCTGATCGACACTAAAATCTAGTTGCCGGTACTTGTCGTCGATCATGGTACGCCGCTGTATGGAAGTCAGGCTCATACATACACGACTGTCTTTCGCACTCCTTGAATGCATTTTCGGTTGAAATCACTCGGTCGAAGCAGCTATTGCTGACGACCTCGCTCATACGTAGGCAATAAAGCACCTTGATGACAATGGATAATGCCGAGGCATAAGCTGAGGTTTCACTCTGCATCCCTCGAATGGACGTCCATGCTACGTCTTCCGTCTCCGAGTAGGACATCTCCATGACACGAACACTTCCGGGTCTGCCGTCGTATTGATGATTCCGCTAACCATTCTGGAGGTACGTTGGGTAAGAATGTACCGGCTTGGTGCCAACATGCCTTACAAATGGCATTGTGCAATCTGGGTTGCGCCAAAGTTTTCCCTACGCAACGTCTCGTTCGATCTCGTAGGAGACGACATTTTCTGGTAGCTAACTTGCTCGTTGTAACCAATGACTCCAACTGTCGCGGACGGCAGCGTTTCGTGAAGCTTTAGTCAGAAGTCGGCCTAGGGGACCGAGCTTACCTAGCAACGTTCAGGGCTGGCAGTCCCTTGCAACAGAAGGTCCAGATTTAGCACGCCATATCTTGCCGCGAATGTTATACAATCGACGCTCTGATTGCAGCTTCCTTGCCATCTTAATTACGAAGTCGAACATGGGTCTTGCTATCGTCTGTTCTTGGTAGCGGGTACCGCGGCCGAAACACAGGTGTCTGCGTCAGTACTCGTAGTGCACGTGCCTAAAAGCATAGGAAATATTTCGTTCCGATTACAATTGTACCTAAGTAGTTGACCTGAGCTTGGCGATTACCATATCTCAGGCAGGTCAGAGTCGTGAGTTTTGGGGAAGCGGGGAAATGGTGGATCCGATACAGATCTGAATACGGCGCGTTAAGTGCACAAGCACCAAGGTCCGTGTCCTCGGATGTGTCTCCGAGATCACCATAGACAGAACCTAGTCAATCTCCTTGCACACGCGTCATAATGATACCCCGAAACATCAACTACGACTCCCACACTGAAGAATATCGGGCATCAACGAGTCGCTGATCAACTTCCAGGTTTTTGAGGCAACTGCATGCTGGTTGTACTGACGTGCAGGCGCGAAGATCGCGTTTCATGAACTAGCCAAGGTTTCTGGTACTGCGTTTACACACGAGTGTGAAACAGATCACGGCTTAGATTCTGACAGCGATGTTGAGAGCATCACGAGATAAGGTTTGTCTGCTCACAGTAAGCAATGATTTCCGCCTTTTTGCTTCACATTCAGCTCCGCGGCACCAGTACAAAGCATCACTTCCGGCTGATGATCTTACAAGTACTATTTATCCAATCTCGCTCTTTGCTCCCATATAATTCGCAGTAGCATCGTTTTGATCTAATTCTGGAGTCAGAGATGACCATTAAGGTATGGCATACGGGCTAAGCAAAGCCTTTGCCTGTCATGTTTACTAACTACATATATAGGGCCCTCTGTCAAGCGACCAGACAAGGCAATGCATGTGTCGAGGATACGAGAACGACATCAGCATTGAAGTACGGGGCCCCATCGCAGCCTACAGCACACTAGAGAAGGTGCTACAACTTGATCAGAAGCTATCAAACCTACATAGTGCGATGATGGAGTGCAGCACATGTTCTTCAGATCCAACGCGCACTGCGACTCTTCTTCGCGAACTGGAAATCCTTTGTACCCTTTACGTTGCAGGGCAGGCAAAGTTTTCGCCATCGGGCGTTCCTATTGACAAAGATAGCAACGAAAGCCGCGCTGAGCTTGGCGACAGCACGTTCCAATTAGGCCGATATGTGTTGGACAGCGAGGAGTGTAGAGTTGTGGGTCGCATTGTCGTGAAGCAAGGGCTGGATCATCTTCAAAAGAAGCTGCAGATCGTGCAGGCGGAACAGAGGCGGAACAATTGTGCCACAATGCAGAACGAGATCAGTGCGAAAGTTCAGGGGATACTCTCGAAAGTTTGGGAGGCTTCCGCATATGGATGTCTGTAGACACGGGGAATACGCGAGGGCGCGCCCAGCGTCAAGGCCGTGGTAGCTAAGGTACTCGAACAAGAATGAAGCACTGTTGATCGAGTTATAGCGAAGATTCATAGCCCATGGAGAGACCATTCTCGGGGCTTAGCATCGGGGAGATGCGGGTTATATCACAGGTTGACCACCATCCCAGTTGACCAGGGATGCACTTAAGCCGCCGAGTCCCACGTGAGCAACGCATACCATACAATTTAGAGAGCAAGCAAAAATGAAATCGACGGTACCTACCTACGAACTATGCGTACCCGCACTTCGAAAAGCGATGCAAAACCATCTGGAGGTTTTGAAGAAGGCTGAGGCGTGGTGCGACAAAAACGGGTATCCGCACTCGAAAGCCTTGGGGGCTAGACTCGCTCCAGACATGCATGTACGTATCGCATCGACTTGCCACCTAGAGAACAGAACATGAAGTTAATGATGCTTCAACTACAGCCTCTTGCGCTTCAAATCTTTTTCCAGGTTACCACCGCTACAAGGGCACTCCAGCGCCTTGCCGGCATGGAAGTACCCACGTTCAAGTTTGACGCAGCCTCTTTCCAGGATTTGTACACGCAAATTGATCAGGCCTTGGAATGTTTCGAGAAGGCGCGCCCCGAGGCATTCGAGGGAAAGGAGGATATGCCCGTGGTTATCGATGTACCCAACATGTGGCATTTCGATCTGAACGGCTTGACATATTTGCAGGAGTTTGTTCTCCCGAATTTGTAAGTGCTCTCATGAAATTCTCTACGTCTAGCCGGTATACTGACATAGCCCTCGTTTTGACAGCTTCTTCCACAACGTGACGGCTTATGGCATCTTGCGGAATCTTGGGGTACCCATTGGGAAGATGCACTATCTTTCGGGTGAAGATCGACTCATTGGGGCTTGATGGCACATTATCAAGATCAGGAGGATGTTGTGGAAGGCGCTTTAGAACTAGAAAAGGTCAAACATGAGCCATGCACAACAAATGCTGTCAAGAGGCGTAGAAAGGAATAGACGAGTTTTTCTAGAATGGTTTGTTTGAAGATGAATGATGCAACTGACCTATGGCATGTGTCGGAGATCGGAGTTTCATTCGCCGTGACCGGGTTCCGCGGGGAAGCTTGACGTAGCGCGTGTCCCACGTGGAGCGTCCAGGCCCACTACCAGTTGACCACCAACAGTCAGGCATCCCGTCTCAAAGTGCGAACCATCTGACGCCTCTAGAAACCGCAAACCCAGCACCAATTGCTCGCGTACTCGCACACAATGGACAATCTACTCACGCAGAAGACGCCTACTGCGCTAGCAATCGCGCAGGCTGTAGGCATAACGGGGAGCGTGTTCTTACTAGGTAAGTTACGCCAGGGATGAAGGCGCATACTCATACTTGAAAAGCCTTTATATACATTATACAGCACGGCATGACTGACAAGCTTACTAGGATCCAATGTATGCCTTTCGGTAGTCGGCATCCCCGCCGCAATGCAAGCCCCCGCTCCCCTCGCAGTAAAGCAATGGCACACAATCTTCACACGAGGCGGCGCAATCGCAAGGCCACTAGCCATTGTCTCAGCTCTAGCAACCGGATACTTGGCCTATAACCGTACGTCACACCCTGTGTCCTTCGAATGCGCGCCAACACCTCAACACTACACTACACCCGTCTACCGACTCCCCGACCGGTTCACGTGCTAACATCCCCCAACAGAAGATCCCAAATCCACACCTTTTCGCCTAAACGCTCTCGCGACCATCCTCCTCCCCAGCATCGTCCCCTTCACGCTCCTCGCCATGGCACCCACGAACGACAAGCTTCTAGGCAAGAAGGACGAACTCGCGACCGCATCGTTGAGCAACAAGAACGTCGAAGCATTTGCCGCCGAGGGCGAGACAGTACACGAGTTGATGGACAAGTGGGCGAGTCTGAATATGGCGAGGGCAATGCTGGTGGCTGTGGGAGCAGTGTGTACCGTTGCGTCAGCGGTTGTGGGAAGGAGGGAGCTTGTAAAGTTTGGTGGCCGGTGGTAAGGCATGGATGAGACAAGATAGGATGTTGGTATGATTTCATGGGCCAGATGTAAGATGAATGATATATTGAGACATGATTATCAGAAGATATTTACACCAAAAGCCTCCTTCACCGCACCGAAAGCATGCCTCCAATCAACCAACCTCCAGGAAACTAGAAGCGGGAGCAGCCGAAGATTATGACAAGGTGAGGCGCTAGGCAGGGGTGCTGTGATGCGACAGAGGTGGTTGGCTATTAATCCGAGTGAGGGCTCATTTATCCGGTCATATATCTTAGGGTAAGCTGGTCTGACAGGGCGTATGGGTCAAGCATCTCGCTAGACGGCTAAGCATGTTGGTGGAGTAGCTTGTCTGTACCTTCTCTCGTCAGCTCGTGTTTGAATGGCACATGGGCACCGCTCGTCGAGCAATATACGCTTCGAGCGATGGGCGAAGATCGCCCGAAGACTGGATCATCCTGCTGTATGATGCCTCCGTTGACAACATGGCAGGTCTCTCCTGCACTACCTCGTTCGCCATATAACGAAAAAGAGGTATCCAGGACGATCACATGACTACAGCACCCGAGAATCCAGAGGTATGGAGTTAGGATCGGCACCCGAGGCCACTTGAGAGGTGATAGTTGTGAGAATGCAATGTGCCCCACGAAGAGCATGCAGCAGCAAGCTTACCTAGGTAGCCTTGAAGCATGATCTGCATGTACTGTACAACAGTTATAGACATGGAAAAACATGAGCACCAAGCAACCGGGCGATGTTATCGGCCGATGCCTGCTGCAAACAAGTGCTGTTGTTGGTCCGGTCTCAGATGGTCCTTCTCGTCCTTCCAGTCATGGGACTATGATCTCAATGATCCTTCAGTGAGATTCAGCGGTCGGTCACCGACTGGCCCAACAAGATCACTGCTGTGAAGTCTTACGGGCGTATGGGATTCCAGAGAATCATATATCAGGCGACAGTTGACGCGGTGGGTCTTGCAAACTACATTCTCGTTCCTCAAGAACCTTCATCTTCATACTATCCATACGCCTGCATTCGCTTTCGAGACTTTCAGTCTTGTACGAGCACATCGTACTTTGAAAAAATAGTCGACAATTAGACGCGACGCAAACGGCATGAAGCTCGCCGCTGCTGGGGCTCTTATGCTCTTTGCTCGTTCAATCATGGGCAAAGGCTGCCCAGACGGCCAAATTGGTGTTGGCACCGTACAAACCTGTTTAATCGTCAAGTTCGTCCTTACCTATACATCCGAATCGCCAGGTTGCCTGGACGAGACTACGAGCTGACTTGTATCTCTAGCAATATGCAGACTCAGTGCTCCGCGACGCAGGGTGTCGTCTTTGGAGAAGGCAACTGCGACCAAGCCGATATCGAGAACATGTTCCAGAAGGACGGATATTGTCAGCCTAGAACTTTCCTTCATGGCGCCAAGGTTTTCTGCGAAGACGATGATACGACCGTCACTTCTGTTGCATACAATCTAGCGACTTGGGGGAATTGCAAAAAGCAAAATATTGATTGTTCCGCTGGAGCACTGCAGTATTTGTATATTAGTTACTGTTGCGAGAAGACGTAGGGCTAAATATGTCACTCAAGTGTTGCCGCGGCCAAGGTACGGAAATTATGTATGCTAGCAAAGAAGTATCTGCCTACACAAGAAATCTATACAAAGCTGATGGTTCCTTTGTGTGTCATCTGCTTTTTTATTCCATTGGCACTGTTTGTATAACAATATCATGTTCTCTTCGTACAAAGAAGCCTCCTTTGCCGCACCGAGAACTTACTTTCAATCAACCAACCCTGGTCAGAGTAATGTCATCAACCCACACATACCCCGTCTGCGCAGTCTGCGAACAGACCACTACAATTCTCACAAATTGATTATTACCCACTGCCAGCGCAGCCGTCCCACTAAACCTCGTCCACTCCTGCACCTCAACTTGTCCATAATTCTGCTCGATAAGGCCCGTCAACTGGACGAAGCATGGAGCTCCAACTGTACCATCGACTTTGACGCTGAAGGATGCCGTGTAGGTACCTGCTTCGCTAACTTGAGGTACTTGACGCACGCTGGTGAAGAGGCCGGCTCGTCGCGGTACGCGCATACTCTTACTGCCATGTTGTGGATCGGTGGAGGCGACGATGGAGGCGTCGCCAGGGAAGAGAATCCATGGGCTACTTGTAGGATCTTCGAAGCCAGGGTTTACAATGAGCTGCGTGGGTTCTGGTGGGCTTGGGCTCGGACTTAGGGTGGAGGAGGTTGACGATGACAGGTCGAGTGTTGTTGTCGAGGCGGTATCGCTGATTGTGGGGGAAGCTTCAGTCGAAGTTTCTGTTGAAGTTGGAGTTGGAGTTGGAGAGTTCGGAGAGGAAACGGGCTCCGTTGCGGACACAGACGCACTGGTCGTCATCTCGCTGGATGCGGAAGATGTGTCTGAAGGGACAACAGGCGAAGAAGAAGATGATGAGCTCACAGCCTCTGGGGTAACAGCTGGATCTGATGAGATTGACGTGATACTGCTTGACATCTCTGCCGAGCTGTATGATGTGGATGATATATCCGTCAAGGACGAAGATGATGACGGAAGCACAGAAGTGACAGTGACCAACGACGCACTGTTTTGGATAGAAGAAGGCGCGGTACTCGAGGAAGATACAGCTTTGCAATCGCCGAACCCTTTCTGGCAGGTCTCAGGTGCACAATATGCGTCTGTACTTCCACAATACGAGTACTGACTGCAGCAATTACCCCACTTGCTTCCTTTGCAGGTCTGTCCACCGGAAGCAGCTCCACATCTGGCATTGGTGGAGACTCGCTGCGAAGTGGCAGAGGCGCTGACTGTCGGTTGCGTGGTTGTTGTAGATGGATGTACCAAGACACTCGAAGGCCCGGCCGGTGTAGCCTTGCAGGAGCCGAATTTGGTCTGGCAACCCGATTCGCAGTACGCATTGCTATTACCACAATACCCATACTGGGAGCAGCAGTTGCCAAATACACTACCCAAACAGGTCTGGCTTGAGCCGACGCCACATTTGCCGTTGGTCGAGGTCTTCAGTTTCGAAGGCGTGGGCGAGGGAGACGACGTAGGGGGTTGTTTCGATGGGGAAGAGGACGTTGAGCAAGAGCCGAAGCCTGACTGGCATCCCTTAGAGACATAGCAGTGGTCCTCCGTTCTTCCACTACGTGGTGTTAGCAAGGTCTACCAGAAGAATAGAAAAGTGCAGAATGAAACGTACCACCACCCGTACTGTGAGCAACATGGTCCAACACTGGTAGATTTTCCAGGACAAACAAGTCCTCCAAACCCTTTACCACACCGCGCGTTCTGAGAGATCGTGGCTGCGAAAACTCCATAGCCCAAAAGGAGAGTTGTGCCTGTAAAGAGTGTGCTGATTCGCATGATGAAGGCTCAATGAGTGAATTAATGAACGTAATAGATCCAATTGCTCAAAGATAGGTCAAAAGAGTGTATAAAGCAATGAAGCCAGACCTTGCCTACAAGATCTACTAGGTTTTCTCGACTTCATTATATACATAGCCATAAATATCTGCCCAGCTCATCATTAACCTGCTATGGCTAAGATGGCATGATCAATAGCAAGCCACCAATACCACTGACATTATCCACAACTCGTGCAGCGCCACATGCAGTGAATTTACATGACAGCGACGCTTCGCTAGTAGTGTTATGCCGAATTGAGTCGTGGTTCTGGTGCTAAGCTTGCGCCACGGGTGTAGCCGCACGCTAGCGCGGTCGAAGAGCCCCTGATATCGCTACAAGTGGTTGAAGCGTCGGCTACTCCGTGGCGAAGAACTGGGGAACGTGGATCGCGAAGGAGAGATCTAGGCGCTGCACGGAGCACAGTCGCGAAAAAGCGGCTCGATCTGTTCCTCTGTCTTAGTTCATTCTACGGCTAAGGAGAAACAGGGTTGAAGTTGCCATGTATCCTCAAGACAGGCACAACAATGAAATGGGATGTATGATATGCATAGGGACAGTAGCGATGTATGCGCAATCCTGTCTAGAACTTTTTCTCCTAATCATCCGATGTGCGGAAAGTACTGCGACCACTGAGGAACTTCGAAAGCTGAATCGGGGAGGTGGAATACATCCAGGAAACATTCTGTGATGATAAAAACTCTTGCAAAAATGTAAAGAAACAGAAACAGAATTAAAAACATCGAGCAGAACTGGTGTAGAATCTGCTTCGCTAATTCCGTCCCTCTAATACCCGTTGAGTGGAGATAATACTTTTTGAAGGCAAATCCTTCCGCTAGTAACGATATTATAGGAGGTATGCCCGAAACCAGAATTGAGATGCCACTCAGTTTCCAAAGCAGTTCGTCGATTTTCCCACGAAAAGGTCGATTCCATACAACGAGATGCACACCGCCGTAGAAAAGGCCCGCTAGAAAGAATCCTTCGTATGCATACGTCTTGCCGTGGGGTTCCTCAACCTCAAAGGAAGTATCGGAAAGATTCCTTGAACGTACGGCGAAGAAGGTATTGAAATCCTGGATAGGCAGCCGTATGACATACCTTCTGACAGCTTGTGAAGCGAGCTTGAAGCGGACAAAGTCTAACTCGGTCAACTCTTTATACGTATTGCATGCGTGATGCGAGAGCTCCCTATTCTCACGGAAAACAAAGCCACGATATACAAGACAATTTTCTGCCTGGAGTTTCGGATCTTCTGATCTTCTGATGGACTCAGCAAGATGTTCTGAACCACAGGATGGAAGACCGCGGTTTCAGAGTCAGCTGAAGAGTCAAGGATTTCATCGTCATCCGTATTCTGTAAGTCGGCCAGCGACAAATCGATCAATGGGTACAATGTTCGGATAACATGGAGGGCGGCAATATGATGTAAACGTTCATGTGTGCAAATGGTCGGCTCTTCAACATCCAATGGCTTATCCCACCAAAAAAAGAAATACAGAGCTAGAGCACAGGCAGCATGGATGGTAGTATTCATCTCCAAAAGTGAGATCGAAAGACCCTGAGTCAACCGAGTTATACACTGAATGTCGAACCACATCGCCTGGACAATAGTTATCATCTTCGTGAACATGTTTGCTTTACTCTTGTCCATAATTTCAGAAGCGGACAAATCCGGGAGAAGATCAGGATCATGTTTGGCGATGAATTTGAGACCATCTAGTGTCAATGTCATTCTTTTCCGCCCGCTGGGAAGATAGTCGCAGCCTAGATCGCGGGTATCGATGGCAAACCCACCCATCGTAGCGTAGAGTGAATGTGTGTGTGTGTCCATGGGTATCTTTTCATATTTGGGATAATTTCGGAATCCATATGTTGCGACATCTGCTCTGTTTGTTTGGGACTTCCTGTCATCATCCCAAGCTCACTCAACGCATTGGAAACGGATAGGAAGATGTCTTTGAATAATTTCGGCAGCCTCTTCACAAGATTCGGGGACTCGGACTGACCAAAGGCCTTTCTCATGATCTTCCCGATCGCTATTGCACTAAGGTGCTGGTGAAAAGCGGTCCAAACGACCTTACTTAAGTCAGCATTCGTTCAGTATGCCACGGAGTGATGTTAGCTACCCATTCTGGAGCAAAAAGCGCTGTGATCATCCAGCCTAACTTTCGCCACATTTGCGCATTGACTTTGTTGTGCTCAGGAATGTTCAAATGAACAGCTGTCCATACACACAGTATCATCGTCAAGAGCGAAGACGAAAGTATGGAAAATGTACCGCGAACCAACGGTTCGGGCTTCCAGGAATGGTATTGTGGGTCGCCAGCTATTGTCGTGTTTGCCATCTCTTCTGTGTTGGCGTAGAAGGTCAGTTGCGATCACGCAACCCCAGTACAAAGTAGACGGGGTTTTCGTCCGCTCGTTGGTTCCAAGGTTATAGTCAGGCAGATAATGTCTTCTTTCTTGAGTCGAGTAGTGTGATGAGAAAAGCGAGGACGCAAGTATGCCGTCCATCCATCGCTGTAATACCAGTTCACCACACTTTAGCTGCCAAGGTTGTGGCGGTTCTCATACCGCAAGGCTGAGGCTATGCACTGCTTCAACAGCGCCGCGCCCCGCTGGAGAGCTTGGAAGCTGACATGCAGGACTGCTACATGCTTCACAATATCCAATGAGATGTGGTAACGGCGAAGAATGAAGAAAAACTACTTGCAAGTGTCGTACAACAGTCCACACTCACAGTCCATAAACAAACGTAAGCCTATCGTCACCCTCCCTACCTCGAACAGCCTGCTCAAGCCAACCACTTATGGAGGCAAGCTTCGAATGCGACCGCGACACGTCGATGGCTTTCCTCAGCCACTGCTGTTTCTGCGGTAGCGGTCCTCTACCATGCATTCTCTCCGCCTCAACGTCATCTTCACTCCACTTGCGCAAAATATCCTGCCTCGTCTCGTTCTCGAGCTTCAAGCGTCTGTAGAAAAGCACGTAGCCAATCGCCGCTAATGCAACAGACGCAAGTGTCCACCAAAAAGGCACGATATAGCCACCTGCGGCATATTTTGGTCGGAACAGGATGGCTGAAATGACTCCAGCAAGATTACCCCAGCCATTAATACCAAGGAGCAATGCCCGCTTGCCGGGTGATGGTGTGTTACCAGATATCCAGGCCACAGTGAGTGGGGAAGCAATGTAGGTACCAGAGAGGAGGATGTTAAGGGCAATATAGCGGGGTACTGCCCATGAGCTTGGGAGCAAAACCACGAGAATCAACCCCGCTACCATGATGAGCAGACCTAACATGATCGGCTTGAGACGTATGCGATGCTTGTCGCTATAGCTAGCGGCGAAGTATAGTACGATGGCTCCACAAATATGTGGCGGCGCAGTGAGCAAGTTGATGAGCGCAGGGTTCGCGTCCTCGGTCAGAGGTGCTAGTACCAGCGGGAGGAAAACGGAGAAGGCATAGACCGGGACGGCGGACAGGACATTGCAGGCTAGAATGTGCCATATCTTGGTGTTGAAGACTGCGGATAGTATATCGTGGGGACTGAGTCCACGGTCATCCACCAGTTGTCGTGTTGGTGTGATTGTGGAGGCCGAATGCTTGGACGAGTCAAGAAGGCCTCGGGACTCCTCGTCGTAGGTATCTTCCGTTTCGTGCTCGTCTTCTTGAACGGCCGCAGGCGCATTCTGTATGTCTCGATCTCTCACAACACGCGCCGATGCATACTGACGTTCCTCGGGTGTCAGAAACCATGCCGTCTCTATGCTGTGTGGTAACCAGAAGTATCCGATGAATGCCACAACGATAGTGAGTATGCCCTCGAGTAGAAACAGCACCTGCCACGGTCGCCAATCTTTGTCCGAGCCTTCCTCGTCATTCTCGAAATGGGAGAAGACAAGGTAGCTTATAAGGCCACCGAGAGCACCGCCGACGGCTGCCTGACCGTAAAAGAATGAGAGCCGTCTGCCGAACTCGAAGCGTGTGTAGAAGAGGGAGAGATATGTGACGGTGACCGGGTAGAATCCCGCTAGCCATCATGTCAGCGCTGCACTCATAATGTTCCGAGGATCCTATCCATACCTTCAAGACACCCGATGAGTATGCGCAACGTATAAAGCTGCCATCTATGCCGTACCCACGCATGCAACGCCGTGCATACTCCCCAAAGAATCATGCAACTAGGTACCCAGAGCACCATGCCATATCTTCTTCCCAGCGCCGCGCCGACAGGTTGTAATGTAACGAAGAAGGCGAAGAAGAGCGCAACAGCGGTATTCAGCGCGCCCTTGTCTAGTCCGACATCCGCCGTAAAGTGCGCGGATTCTGCATTTCCAATCTGAAGCGGATTAGCATAAACTTTTCTTTTTGGGTCGCGGGTACCTACATTTGACTTATCGAGCGCATTAAACAAGAACAGCAGCGCTAGAAACGGAAGTAACAAGCAGTCCAACTTTCTCAGCGTGCTCTTATGCAATCGCGCATCCACAGCATGTAATTCCTCAGCTTCCTCTGGCGGCATCGTTGTGTTTACTGAAGCTGAGGAACCAGGAGCTGCAGCGAGCTCGTACTCATCGGCCATATTGTCGGACGCCAAGAATCAGCCCACGCGGACGCATCACAGGGTCTGCGACTTCGGATGACCTTGGTCGAGGGTGTCGGATTTGGATGGGATGACTAGAATGTTCAGGGTGAGACATGGCGAGGTTTCTGGAGGTGTAAGACTGGATATGGCCTAGGTTAATAGCGGTTTTGAATAGGGACTTGGACCCTGATCAATTGATGGGATGACGAGGGCTTGGAGATCGACGCCCAGTTGGGAAATGGCCGAGGATGCTGCGTCTTATCGATAAGACACGTCTACTAACCAAGTGACAACCAAAGACCTTTAAATACTCTTAGGTTATATGAAGGTGCTGGGAATGACACACCAACATCATGCGTACGTAGTCCAGCTCTAGTATCTGATATGTTGTTCATTGATAGCTCATCTCGAAACGTTCAAACTCGTAGCAATCATTCTGCCTCCGCCGTCTCCAAATCTCTCCTCCCAAACGCCTTGACAGCCTCATAGTACAGCGTAGCAGTAGCCTCACACGGGCCCTTTGCCGACTCATTCGCACACTGGTTAAACATGTCCGTTTTGAAATTGTCGTCGATTCGCGCCTTGTTCGCTTCGAAGCGGTTTTGCGCCTTGAAGTTACGGTAGCCAAAGTCGTGGCGGTAGCAGGAGTTTATGACTATAAGTATATATATTAGTATGAGAAGAAGAGGGGGAGCGGTCATTAGATGAAATATGGAAAAGAGGGAGTGGAATAATGAGAAGGATAGAGGTAGGAGATGTGAGAACATACAGTCAAATCCAAACGGATTATCTGGACTCGCAGTACACCCATTGCTGGACCAATCTAACTCAGGAGGGTTCTTTGCATTACGGTTTGTGATGAACTCGTCGATGGAGATGTCGAACATATAGCTGTCTGTGACCTGCTCGAGAGACGCCTGGCGCGAAACAAGTGCTGCAGGAGCAGATACGGTAAGCGACGCAAGGCCGAGGACAGTGGCGAGAATGGTGCACCTCATATTGGAAGGATCGGCAAAAGTAATGGAATCGAAATTGCTGGATATTTACTACAGCTGAGCCATGATGGCTTTATACCTACCTCGGATTCCACGATATCTTGTTATGCCGATGTACACGCCGCGCGGTCAGGTCTTTCCCGCTCTTGGAAACTTGCCATGTCAAGGGTTCCTGCATCTGTACTCTACTGCATAACATTTGCATATGTGCTTGCCCATCGTACGGCACACCTCTTTGGGTCAGGTCCCTATTCGCTGAATGCGTTGTATGATCGAGAGAAACGACATGGGGGGATGGCGGAAACGTGCATGCGTATGCCAGATCAGTCGGCTGTGCGGTCTTATGTCGGACTGACCAAGAGATTAGTAGCAGGTGATCCGAGGTAATCTCTTGATTCGCTCTTTCAGAGCCTCAATTACTGCGCATCATGTCGATCAACAGTGTTTGTTGGCTAGTGCAAGGAGGAAGTAAAAATGCCAAAGCCAAGAGCGGGATTTGAGATGAGAGTAAGAAAAAGGGCCGCCATAGCTGAAAATGGGTGTTCTGTGGACTCGAATGCATGGTTAGCTTCATCTCGCTACAGTTGGACACAAACCGAACACCAACTCAAAAGATCGTATAGACACATGGGGTAGACCTGGAGATAGCGTACACGTAGGTATCGTCGCAAGTGAGAAGCTTAGCTTCCTACCCCACGTGTTATAAATATAGTAAAAGTAAGGTAAGCTTCTTCTGCAAGGCCGCGTACAGATTGGTCATCGGAAATGTCGACTGTCATGTTTTTGTGGCTGTGCATCACTCCTGAAGGGAACCCCACAACTAATCGCAATCATTTTTCTGCGAGTAGAACGTACGTAAAAAAACATCTCGGGGAGGGACAGCCGGTAAGACTGGTGACGAAGGGAAATCTGATCCTCCGTATGAACCGTCTCAGTAAGCCCCACTTTCGTCAAATGATGTATGACTGTTGCCGTAGGTGTACCCTGTGTAGCGTAGCTGGTCCGATGGGTCAGTCCGCCGAATTCGTGTCCTACAAGAGTATAAAATAGTCGCTAAGAGCAAGGAAAGTGTTACTGCAGTCAGCGCTTCACAAAAGAACCACCATTACTTCGTGCAATGCCATTCAATTGTCTATGAGCATATTCCCACTACTTGTACAATGCCATCCGCTCTTTCTTGTTGTTCCAGTCCCCTCGCTTACAACTTGCTGATGAAGAGACGGGCGGCGAACAGGCGCACACGCTGGGGAAGGATGTACTTGGAGAAGACGTAGATGAGCGATGGCAGGAGGATGAAGGCCACGGTGGTCTCGTTGACGAAGAAGAAGGGGATGAGCTGGGGCATGGCCGACTTGAGGACGGTCTATCGCTTGTGTTAGCTTCCTTGTCTGGCCGTCTTTCCCACGTCCAATCCATCTCACCATCTGCTGTGGGCCAACCTCGGTCTTCTTGTTCTGGCTCGCGAGGAGAGCGGGACGCGCCATGGCGGCAACGGATGGGCGGGCAGCCATGGGCGCGCGGGCAGCGGCGGCCCTGGAGAAGGGGCGGAGGAAGCGTGCGGCGTTCATGTTGGGCTACCTGTAGTTTTGCGGGTCAGCGCGCTGCTGTGGGGGTCCAATTGGCCGCGAGAGAGCTTTCGGAGGGGGAATTGACGCACTGAACGAGGGATCCGAAGCCTGGGGAGATGAGCGGAGATGGTGTTGCGGTCGCGGGGGATTTGGTGGTGTTGCTATCGTCGTCCGCAAAAGCTCGCACAGCTGCGATCCCGGCACTTGCCGCGTCCGTGCATGGGGCTTGGCGCTACCCTCTATCGTCCCGCCAGCTCTCCGCATCTTCCCCACGACTACCTTCCATCAACTGTGAATTATTACGCCTCCTATCATACTCTAAGCTCGCCTGCCTCGGCTATGCAAACGCCCCTTCCTGTCTACAGCAACTGGCTATAGTGCGCCAGATCAGCCCTTAGGAATTTGCACAAAGACTGACATCGGATCGGCACGTTGGTCGAGATATGATCATTGGTGTAGAGGTAATTTGTGACACTTGTCTGCATCTGCATCTCAGTGCTGTATAGCTTGGTTGTCAATCACCCCTAACATAGTAAAGGAGCTAGTGTTGGCTCTTCCTTTCAACCGTGTCAAGTGCGGGGTGGGCAGTACATGTAAGGACGCACGCAGCATGCTGGACATATGAAGCAATCGTCGCAAATCGGCCTATGACGCTTCATATCATACAATATGGCAATAGAAAAAGTCATGATACTAGGGGTAAAGAGAAGCGACGAGACTACCAACCGTCACCACTTCGCTGACAAGACGAGTAGAATTGGGAACTATGCCTTTCCATCATCAACGCCATCTTCCCACAACACAGCAAGCCTGGTACTGCAGACTATCAAGTCACTGTACTCACATATCCTTCACAAACTCTCAGTCTACCCCCTCATGTCTCTCCTTCCGACGTTCAGCATCAGAAGTCAGATTACACGTCGACTTCACTACAATCAGCCATGGCGGGACAAGATCTTGTCATAAGCACTATGTCAGGCGGTGACTCAGATCAACAGATTCGCATTATCGATGCCGCCGTCGCGGCGGGTGTCAAACGCTTCGTTCCTGATGAGTTCAGTCACGACAGCATGAACGAGCACATACAAGGGCGCATCCCAAAATATGCGGGACGAGCGAAAGTCATTGCCCATCTCCAAAAAATATTCAAAGACCATCCAGACTTCGAGTGGACTGCAATCGCAACAGGATACACGCTCGACACCCAGCTTATCAGCGGCAACATGGGTTTCGACATGGAATGGCATAGTGCTACTATACACGGTACTGGCACTGAACCATTCTCAGCCTCCAGTCTGGAAAGAGTAGGACAAATCGTCGTTCGCACCATACAACACTGGGACGAGATCAAGAACCAGTATATATACGCTGCTGGTATGATAACATCTGCCAACGAGGTTCTGAGATCTGCTGAGAAAGCGACGGGTCACGAGTTCACTGTAGGAAACTACGACGTCGAAGAGTGTATTGCCGAAGGTCAGAAGAGAATTGAGAAGGGGTACCCCGATTCTGGAATGTTTCTGCTTGAACGAAGTGTGCTGTACGACAAGACACTGGAAGCCTCGAGACCTTTCAAAGACCGGAGCGCAAACAGTATAATGGGACTTACCTCAGAGTCAGTTGAGATTGTCGTAAGCACGGCTTACCACGACTTCAAACACCATGGCAGGCCCGGATGCGGTTGTTCATCGTAACATTCACAACCCAAAGTCTCGCGCCCAGCCTTCTCACTTAAATTGCATCGCATATCGTATACCCCAGCACCCACCTCCTCCCCAAATGGTAGTGCCTTCCCAAAGCGTGTCCCCTCTTCCCGCATGATCTCTCCTTCCCCACATACCCCCTTGCCCCCCTTCTTTCCTTGAACACAAGTCTGACAGTCCTTCATACAGCACTCTCACCGATCAAAGCTATGTTGTGCATATGCCGGTTACGCCACGTCGTAGATCCCGTTCGGGACGCCTGGACCCTGTGGATCACTGGCCTCAGAATACGGGTATGAGATTCAGGAATGCGAAGTGAGCGCGCCAGTTAGACTTTCGGGAGGAGCGGAGCGCATGAGTAATTTACTGTGTGGTGGGAAGGTTTGCGGGATCATGTAAGGAACGGCGTGACTCGTGATGAGGGACGCCGAGATGCGGGGCTCAAGGGAAGACTGGGATGGGGAGGGTCGGGGCGAGGTGCTCTAACAGACCCCATGACACCATCAAGAAGGAGTGTAAGCCGACGACCGAAGTCAAAAACGTTGTCACAGTGACCCACCACCAAAAATATCACATGTTTCTCCACCTTTGCGGTGAACAGTCTCAGCTTCAACCTCGGTCCTCTTCCCGCCAGATCCACCCCATCTATCCATTCAACGACCAACTACGGTCATGAGTCCGAAAAGCCTCATCCATGTTACACAGCCTCACGCCCTACGTGTTCCATGGACGACCCTCAAAAGTCACAGCCTCAGTTTCGGGTTGCTACAGAACCTGAGACTAGACGGCAAGAATGCTGAAACACGGTATGTGCGGGAGTTGGAGTATTCTTCGTCCGGCAGTTGTGATGGGCGGAACGGAGCGGATGTGTTGTTGGGAACACGTTGTACTTTTCGTGACTGTGGTTAAGGTGTTATGGGTGGTTGGGGATGAAGTGGCAGTGCGTGTGTCTCGGTGTGGCTCGGTGCTGGGACGGTCGTGTGAGAGGATTGTAGATCTATCCTTTTGCTTTTACCCGTTGCAGATCAATTTAGTATCCGTCTTTTGATTTTCCTGCTGCTTTTCCCGCTGCTCTTCCCGCTTGAGCCTAATGGTTCTTTTCGGTTTCCAAAAAGAGCGTGTTCAGCAGTTTCGAGTATCATGCAGTGAAGTAGAAGAGGTTCAACAGTTTCGTGAATGGATATTCTCCAATGTTTTGTTGAATTGTTTGCAAATCTGCAGAAGCAAGTCTATAACTACCAAGGTCTACCTACGTGGTAAAGGGGGATATCGCTAGTGTGAGTGGGAGAAAGATGGAAAGCGATGCTACTGAAAATGCTGGATGTCGTTCCTTCGTGATATGCCCAATGCAATCGATAGAACTCGCGCGCAACGGAAACGACGCTGTAGAAATGAACGCTATAGACAAGAACGCTGGAAAGGGGTGGGAAAGACGCGAGATTAAAGTGCAAAAACGATCAAAAACGAGAACCCATACGACGCTTTTTGTACGGTGACCTTTTCATGCTACTCCGCTGTTGCAGTGACCCATCGCCGGTAACGCCCACTAAAACTTAGTTCACAATGGTTGCTTGTGAAAGAATGTCTAGGAGTCGTCTATCAGACTCACATCATGCTCGCGATCGAGTTGAGTGCTGTGGTCGTTGTTCGTATACCAACGAGCTCAGGTTCGCTAACTTGATGCGAGAGGTTTGGTGAATACTGGTGACCGGAGAAGCTCGACAAGCTTTGT